TGCGTGCGTGCGTGCGTGCGTGCGTGCGTGCGTGCGTGCGTGCGTGCGTGCGTGCGTGCGTGCGTGCGTGCGTGCGTGCGTGCGTGCGCGCGTGCGTGCGCGCGACGTAAATCAAAGTTTATGTCATCAATATCATTGTGCGAACGTATAATCAATTTAATTGCGAGTCTGTGTTACAATCTTTGTAATTTTGAAAGTTTCATACAAAAATATACTGACTAATGAGATCACTTGTAGCAGGAAAATGATATATGCTCGTATCTGCTCTTGTTAAATTTATCGTTTAATGATATGTATATAACCGATCTGTTTACGTCAATCGATCAATTCATCGACACAGTATAAGATATGACACAGTATGAGATAGAAACTAATTTTTCCTTTTAATTATTGCATTTTGCTACTTAGTAAATATTCATGATACATATTTTTATTATATATTTTTTATCGCATCATATGTTAAAATAATACAAATAAAAATTTGTATTATTTTCTTTCAACGTTTTTCAATTTCGTATATATCGCACATCGGTAACGTAGATAATCAATATTACGGAATTTCTTATCTTTCGAATTCAGCATTTACAATATTAGTTTCATTAGTGGCCGAGAGATAGCAACTTCCTTATCATAAATGAAAATATATTGGAGTGAGATTAACAAGTTACCGGATTTTTTGTATTTTTAATAAAAAAAATCTCAATAAAACTGTAATAATAAAATATGTTTTACATATTTTACATTTTTTAAAAATATTTTTATATTTAGAATATCATTATCAAGTTATCCAATTAGAAGTGAATTAATATTAATATTAATATTAATATTTTAAAAACAAAAATGTTGTCCTATTGCAAAGTTTCGTGTTTGCAATTTTTAACTATTTTTTTTATATGCAACAATTGCAATACTCTTGCATTTTTATATTGCATGTCGCGCATGCCGAGCGTATCGCAAAATTAAAATTCATTAAACGTGTACACATGTTTCTTAAAAAATAAATAAAAGTTGTATAAAAATATATGATAATAAATTATTATATAAAAATTGTTCTCTCTTTTTTACAATATTTATTTTATATAGCACGTTTAAGATGACTTAAGAAAAAAAGATAAGTTGTTCCAGTAAAACAATACATTTTCAATTCACAAATTTTCCATCATGAAGATATAAGTTTCTCGTTTTTCTCTTCTCGGAAAAAAAAAAAATCTATAAATCAGACCATCAAAAATTCTTCCTCGAAATGCATCCCTCAAGTATCCCTCGGCAACATATTTATAAGTCCCGGTCGAGATTTCCTGCATAAATGTTAGACGACATCTGTCAGCGTCAGAACGATAAATCAGGAAAGTTAACACGGTTGCGTTATTAGCATTATTTTGTGAAGCAACGGCGACACGTGCTTCGCCGTGCACGTGTGTATCCGCAAACCCATCGCGCGCACGCCCGCGATTCATGTGCCCTTCCCATTCGTTACGTAAATTTATTCGGGCCCTTCGCAATCGGCGTTGTCGAGACGTTGTCATGGTATCGGAGCAACGATATAGTTCGCGGGACTCTCGGCACCGCTGGTGTGGGTGAGAATGTCCCGTTCCGCGCCAGTAGGAAAGGGAAACGCGGTCTCTTCGCTCCGAGAAGCACGCTCGTATTTTCCTAACATTATTCCGTAGTTTGAGCTTCGATTCTCTTATGAACGCTACGACGATTCCGCGTTTGTCCGCCGTCTCCGTCTCCGTCTCCGTCTCCGTATCTCGCACTAACGTTGCTGGAACTTATTTCTGTTTCTAACATTCGTTTATTTACATCGATTTATCACGTATTGCTCATATAAAAAATAATTTTAGTTTACACAATACACATTAAAAACTCGACACAAGATTAATTACGAAGATTTGAAGGTATAAAAGAAAAATATTTAAAATCCTTTAGCTTTGAAACTTAAAAATTCAATTTCCCAGTAATAAAGACTATTGAGAAATTCTTTTTTTTTTTTCGTACTTCCTAGAAATCACTAGTAATGTTGAGTAGTAAAAGATTCCATTCGCATAACGTGACGTTTATCAA